AGATGATATAAATTATGTCTACAGTTGCAAAAATGCATAATGTCAAAAATCTTTATCAATACTAGTCTAAAAGCACATTTACAGAATCTCCATGATTCCAAACTTTAAAAACTAAGATGTAAAATCTGGCAATATTTATTCTTGGTTTCTACCCATAAAATTACAAATTAAGCCCTCAGGATTAAGATATTCTTTTTGGAGCAAAAATACTAGGTTGTTTGTTTTTTGTACTTCTAGGATCTCTGAATTTTCCTTTAGGTCAGTGGTCTTTGATGGGGCAAGAAGGTTTCTCTTTATTTTAATTATAGAATATAAGCTATAGGACTCAATGTAAAGAATCAAGGACAAAACACAGGTAGGTTCTTATTTTAATAACTACCATTATGAACCCTAGTTCCCTAGAATAAGATTATTCCTTTGGTAAGGTTGATAGCTCTTACAAGCAAAGTTTTGCATATGTGGATATAAAGACTGCTATTGAATGGGAAGTCCTGTTTAATAGAGCCTTTCATAAGTCTATTCATTGAGAAGTCTGCTTAACAATGTGTTTTCATTTTGGTGAAATATTTATACAGTGTCTGCACTTAATTACTTCACAAAGTTGAATAGTTGAATATTCTTAATAAAATGTGAGGTGTTTTTTGTTTTCAAAATGTTGAACTGCCCACTTCAGTGTATTTTGAATCCATACATATTATAAGACCCACATATATAGCTTTCCTATGAGGTGTATACTAATAATTGGACACTGAGTAAAGAATTGCTTTCTGGCTGTTAGGGCTGTAAAATTATAGGTAGGATACAAACTAACAAGTTTAAGCACAACTCTGATTTTCTTCTTCAAACAACGCATATACCATGACAGTTCACAGTGGGTGAATAGTTTGGCCATCCTGCAAGATTTGAGGTTCAGAGTGGTATCCTACTATTTATCAAAACCTTTCTTGAACCAACAGCAAGGAAGTACTTGTCATTGTCCTTTTTGTCCACAGTCCTTAATTATAAACACTTCCAAAGTCATCAACACAGGAATTTGGGTAATAGCTTAAACATTATTAAGACTATCTTACATTGCATTCAAAGACAATTAGAGAGCAAACAGGTTCAACATAGGCAAAGTAGTATTTCCTCTTTCAGTTTGGGAACTAGCTAACCCTCCCTTTGGCAAAATAGCCTTCCTCTTCCATCAAATTTTTTGTGTATATGTGCATGTGGCTGAGGACAGGTGTGAACTTCCGTGTAAATCAAGAATATAATTAATATACCTCTATCATCTCTATACTGGGGCTATAGCTTCTATCTGAAGGAGGAGGTGTACTTTCAAGAACAATGTTGATGTTCCTTTATGCTAGTTAAAACAGGGCTCTACTTGTAATCCCAACTCTAGTAGCTCACATGGAAATTATGGGAAGTTTAGGGGAATCAGTGACCCTTACCCTTTTAAATTAGTATTGAATGACATAGGAAGCTCTGACTGTGAAATTCTCTTTTACATAAAATGGAACTCAAGGTTTTTTGGTATTAAAAACATTCATGTAAAGATTCCATATCTTGCCTATTAAAAAACACACACACTCTAAACCATTTTTTAAATAAAGGGGTATGATCAACTTTAAGATGAAACCACTAAGTCCTGCCTAACTAGCTAGCAAACTCAAAAAGGCTACAGCAGAGGAAAAAACTTTAAAGGAAGAAAGGGAGACAGGGAGGGAGGGAAGGAGAGAAGGAGAGAAGGAGGGAGGGGGGAGGGAGGGAAGGAAAGGGGAAGGAAGGAAGGAAGGAAGAAGGAAGGAAGGAAGGAAGGAAGGAAGGAAGGAAGGAAGGAAGGAAGGAAGGAAGGAAGGAAGGAAGGAAGGAAGGAAGGAGGGAGGGAAGGAAGGGAGAGAAAAAGGGCTCATGAATCCCACAGGGAGAAACAGTTATCAGAAGCAAACTAAGAATTGAGTGGCAAATAAAAATTACAGCATCTTGTAAGTGAACCAGCAATAAAGAGGTCCTTTATTTATCTTAGGTAAGGAGTGATGCAGAAAACCAGTGAGCTCAAGGAACAAAAAGGATGAAAAGGAGATAGCAGATATAACAAATGACATTTTTATGTGAGTAAACCATTCCTATGTCTACTATATCTTTTGAAGTAGGCAGATGGGTCAGAGGTCATAATGGCAAATGTGCAAGAGACTCTGGTTCCAAGCAACAAACTCAAAGTAGTCACAAACATAATGACAGGAACTAAGTGATATAGTTACCAGGATTCACCCTCTGCAAAACTATTTAGTTTGTAAAGATTGTTTTGTTTTTGTTTCCCTCTCCCTCCACTGCTCTGTTACCCAATTCCTGCTCCTCTGAATGCTCAGGGTGCTCACACTCTAACCCTTTCAAAATCTGCAGTCAGGAAAAGCACTGTGAGAACCATACACCTAATGGCAGAATGTGGGTAAGGAGGAGAGGTTGTGCCAAAATTCCATTTTAAGGCCTATTTCTAATTGTAGAATTAAAGTATGTTTCCTGTTAAAGGAATTTCAGATTATTAGTCCAACAGATGGGAGAGATGCTGGGTCAGGAAGGCTCCCTGGCACCCTTGGAATCAGAGGTGCCTTCACATAACACCCTGACAAGACTTGACTTCTGAAAGAAATCAAAGGGAAAAATTATTGTACCTCTAATGAAAACCTAGAACCTGTTATCCTGGATGATCATTGTGCAAAAGGGGCCCTGGGAACTATACACTGATGAGTGTCTGGTACTTTAGTAGGCAAGCTGGAAGACTCTTAAATAAATACTGGCCTCCTATACACTGGGGTGGGAGTGGTAACAGCGTCTCAGTAAAGAGAAATCATGTGTGATCTGCCATGGATCTTTTCCTTGGGGCTAAACTCACTTTTAAAATGCTTCTAATTAATTTTCATACCAAGACTATTTTTAAACATGAATTATGTAATTTAAAATACTTTTTCCTTATCATATAGTAGGAACAAGTTTAGAGAGAAAAAGAAAATATAGGGGAGAAACAGACATTTTTGTGACTGAAGAAGGGTAAACAGTAGACTTCCTTGGGGGTAGGCACTGGGAGATACTCAAGTCTGCAGATGATACTTGGCATTTCCAGGCAGTGAAGTGCCAAGCTGATGGGGACTGAAGGAAGGTCTCAGGAGGTTTTATGATTGGCAGATGAGCTTCAATAAGGGAACAAATGTGTAAGGTAGTCCATTTAGGGAGGGCCAGATATTATAAATTACTCTTGCAGGATGATGGGTGCTGACCTTTCAATGAAGACCTGGGAAAGAAATCTAAGAAACTCTGTTTACAGAGCACTGAAGAGAACAACCTAGTTTCCTCTTACGGCATAAAAAAAGGGTAACAAAATGTTGGGCACTGTCAAGGGGATTAAGAGAAAAACAAAATAATTCTCCTTTTACACAGAACCACAGTACATCTTCATTGGTGAAGTTACACAAGCAGCTCTGATCTGCACATGTCAAGGACAGAACAGAGCCTAAGGCAAACAAAGAAGGGCAATTAAAACCATCAATGGCAGGCTCCAAAAAAAAAAAAAAAA